CAGAAGGGGATGGGAAAGGATGGGGTAGGGGAAGGGGAGCAGAAGGGGAAGGGAAGGGAGGGGAGGGGAAGGAGGAAGGGGGTAGAGAAAGGGAGGGGAGCGGAAAGGAAGGGAGGAGAGACACCTCCAGTTTTAAAACTGGAAACAGTCCTGCACTGGAGTCCCAGAACCGCAGAACAAAACAAAGTGAAAACAAGAATTTAATAAACTCTAGTCTCCACCCAGGCATAGAATTTGAAGTAGGAAATGATGTGGACAAAGAAGTCTAAGATAACAGATAACATGACCTGAATCACAAGACCACAATCGAAAGCCAAAGAGGAACGTCCAGGTCCTTCTCAGGAAAACACTCTGGAGTTTTCAGTAGCATCTAACTGGGGAACCCTGTACAGAGTCCCCTGAACACACTCTCTATGGCCTGACACCCTGGGTTTTACCCCATAAGCTTGGAAAAGCAAATCCTAGTGTTCGGGGCCTTAGGAATACAGAAAAGGGCTGCGTTTATGAGTGAACTGCTCCACAGCCTTGAGCATCTTTTCCATCCCTCACAGTTGTGAAACCCAGTGGGGTCCACCTGAAGCTGGTGCTGAGGTTCTCGGACTTCGGGAAGGCCATGTTCAAACCCATGAGGTAAGTGCAGCCTTCCTCGTAGCCACACCCCTCGTGGCAACCCTGAGGGAGCACTGAAAACATAGTAAACGCAACCGAACCTCTTCATGCTAATCATCAGGAGATTCTATTTGGACTTTCTGCACCACACAGAGGACTATTTAGGTGATTAGTAATAGTAATTGAAAACAGCAAGAGCTTATCTTTATAGGCCCTTGCTAGCATCTATATGCGCTACCTGAATTACGTCTCTGGATTGTCAACAGTCTCATGAGCCTTACGAGTCAAGAGTTATTATACTATCCACACTGAGGTGAAAACATGAAAGCTGTTGAGAAGCCAGCTTGTCCCACTCCTGAGCTGCAAAGAGTGGATCCAAGATTCACATCCAGGCAGTTGGACGGCTAAGCTTACTTTCTCCTACTATAATGGATCCCCACTTTATTCGGGGCTAGTAAGCACCCTCTTTTTGACATCAAAAACTTTATTCTACATGACAATACTGGTTTGGAGTGAAAATGTAGACAATGAAGAAAGGATTCTATGAAATCAAGTACGTGTTTACATTGATTTGTATTTTATTATTCAGAGCAACATATATGCCTTTGAATTTTATAGTACATGCATGGGGCTTAAGAGATGGCTCAGTGGGGAAGAGCACTGGCTGATCTTGAAGAGGACCTGAGTTAGGGTCCCAGCACTCCCATGCAGCTCACAACCATCCTTAACTCCAGTTCCAGGGGACACAATGCTCTCTTCTGGCCTCCCAGAGCACTGCACATATGTGGTACAATTGCATGTATGCAGGCAAAACACCCATACATATAAAAATAAAACTGAATAAATAAAAATAATAGTTACAGTGCATGTATATGGGCAAAATAATGTGTATCTAGCTCACAGACAGACTTGGGATCTGTGTGTGTGGATTACTAGTCCCCCAAGGGTCTGCAGCCCCCTAGTTGGTTTTCCTGAAGAAGAGTTCTAATGCCTTAGCCCAGTGGGACTTTCCCCTTGGAGATGACATGCGTAGAAAAGAATGTTCCTTACACAAATCGTGTTCCTCTGAAATTTTCTTCCTTCCACGGATTTCACTCACATTAACTTAGATTCACAACTTCAACCTCCAACCAACTGAGGAGAGACCTCTCAGTGGCCCAGTGCCTGGCCCTGCTGGTGAGGCCTGGTGACATGACCACTGAACAGCAGTCTCATTCCCTGGACTAGGGGGCAGAAACACCCCTCTGAGAAGTTTGAACAAATGAGCTGCCTATTGGATTCCCCTGGGAATCTTAATTCTGATGCTCCAGTCTTCCCCTCACAGGGTCCAGTGGACTTGCTCTGCCCCTACCTGTGGTCCCAAAGCCCAAGCAAACTTAAGAAACCTTTATATAAGGAGAGTCCCATTTACATAAGGAGAGTACAGCTTTCCAGGGATCTGCATGAAACAGTTGAATTATCTGTTTGTATTTATTTTTTTAATTCCACTACTTACCATATAAAATAACACATTTTCATATTTCACTTGCCAGAAATGTTTAATATTGGGCCTCATCATCACAGAGCCAAGCTGAGGGTCAATATTAAACAACAGTAGGTTCTTTCCTCATGCCCCTCCCCCATCACTACCACTGTTTCAATCACTTCATCAGGCCACATGGCCCCGTACACTCTTCAACTGTATTATACTTGCACTGTTATAACCAAATTACCAAGAACAGCAATTCAAATGAGGAAAGATCATTTTGACTCATTGTTTTGAGAGCATGATGGAGCCAAGCAATTTTCACTATAGAAACAGAAACAGAGAAAAGGACACACAGGAAGGGATTGAGGGCAAGATGGAGCCCATAAAACGTGGCCCCAGTGACCTACTTCTTCCAGCTAGGCCACACCTCCTACTTTCCACTGCGTTCCCCAAATGCCATATTATAACTCTACCATGAGACAAATCTTACAGTCTAAAACAGACACACCCAAAGATGCACTTTGCTAACCTTCTAGGCACATCTCAAAGTCAGCTAATGAAGCTGCCACAACCAAAAACATTGGAGAAACTGCAAGAACTGGAGTGCAGAAAAACTCCTTTTCCTCAGGACAATTTCTTTTTTATATTTTATTTCTTATTTTTATTTTATGTATATGCATGTAGGTAAGTGCACCCACATTATGCAATGCCCACGGAGGTCAGAAGGTCAGAAGAGGGCGCCCGATTCCCATGGAACTGGAGTTATGGATGGCTGTTGGCTTCCATGTGGGTGCTAGGAATTGAACTCAGGTCCTCTGCAAGAGCAGCCAGTGTTCTTAACCACTAAGACATCTCTCCAGCCCCTCTAAGGACAATTTCAAGAGTGATCTTACCTGATAGTCAAGCAGGCAGACAGAACTCTAATAAATAATGTGTGTGTGCATGTTTATGTGTGCATGTACGCTTGCATATGTACATGCATGTGTGTGGAGGCCAGAGGACAACCCTGGGTATTGTTCCTCAGGTCCTAGCCACCTTTTCTATTTTTGAGAGAGTATCACTGGCCTAGAATTCACTAAGCAGGGTAGGCTGACTGGCCAGCAAGCCCAGGGATCCACCCATCTCTGCCTCCCCAGTGCTGGCCATGCCCCACTATTTTAGTAACATGGGTTCTGGGGATTGAACTCCAGGCCTCACGCTTGTAGACTGAGCTGTCTTCCCTACCCGTGTTCTCTTTATCTTAATTTTAAGAGGCAGTGTTTTACCCTGGCTGATCTCAAACTCCTGGGCTCAAGTGATCTTCCTGTCTTGGCCTCCTAAACAGCTCTCCTCCATCTAAGTAAGAGTCACAGCAGTGAGTTCACATGGCAGAGGCAAAGGTCCCATCACAGGCATGTGACTCTTTGGCACGGCACTCCTCTAAATGAGAGCCACCATGAGGTTCTGACCAGTGTACAGTTTTAAATTACTGTCGTGGTCAGTTAGCCATGCACACTCAATGAGGACCCATAGGACAGCTCCAGTTAGAGGAGGCTACATAAGGAACACGGAGGGAGAAATGTAAGGTGTTAACAAGAAGCATCAGTGTGGTGCTATAGCTTCAAATTCACTACAAGCCACCAGGCCTATAAATTGCATTCTCAGGGCAAAAGTCCCCAAGATGTCTCTAGTTTTTAGAAACTGGAGCAAACAGGGCTGGAGAGATGGCTCTGGGCTCGAGAGCACTGTCTGCTCCTGCAAAGGACCCTGGTTAGGCTCCCAGCACCCACATAGTAGCTAACAACTGTCTGTAACTCCAGTTCCAGGGGAGCCGACACCCTCTTCTAACCTCCGTGGGCATTGTACAACCCGGGTGCACTTACATACATGCAGGCAATAGACTCATACACATAAAAATAAAGTACAACAATAATAAATAGAATATTTAAAAATTGGAAGCAAACGGGGCTGGAGAAACGGCTCAGCACTGAAAAGCAGCTTCTGCTTTTGCAGAGGTCCTGGGTTTGGTTCCCAGCACCCATGGTGAGTGGCTTACAACTGTCACTAACACAAGCTCTGGAGATCTGACGCCCTCTTCTGGCCTCCATGAGCATTCACACAAGTGCACATACATACACATACACATAAATCAAAACTGGAATCAAATAAGAAAAGATGAGCTCCACTTTTATTTTTCATGTATCAGCAAGGAAAAGCTGGACTTGCGATGTTAACATTTTCAGAAATACAAACATAAGAAGGAGTCCAAAACCTCTTCTCCACCTACTCAGGTAGAAACACCAGCTTCTTTTCCCTCGGATGTAAATAGAGCACTTTCTACTATTTGGTGATTGGAGCGGTATTACCTATGAGGGTGGGGGAGAGTGGTCAGTAAGCATTATGTGTATGTGTGCAACTGTCAAAGAATAAATCTAATTAATAAAAAATCGGAAATAAAAACAGCCAACAACGGGGCAAGGGAAACACACACAACATACAATGTGTACTTGTATGATTTTTTAATAAAATTAAACAAAATAAAAGGGCAAAAAGAGGACATAACATAAAATTTCATCCATAATTTTATGAAATTTAGTTCCAAATCAAATATAGTATTGTTTTAAAATGCATTTCTTTAAAAACCATGCTTTTTTTTCCTCGAAATAATTTAAAGTGAAAAATATTTGTCCCTTTGCAGAGAGAAAAGTAAAAATTTTATCTTTGGATAATAAACATTCTAAGCATAAAAGTGATAGTTTTACATTTATTTATTTGTTTATTATGGGGGAGATGTGCATACCACATCATACACAGAGGCCAGAGATAACTGTTTCCCCCCTTCCACTATGTGGGACCCAGGGTTTGAACTCAGTTTGTCAGGCTTGGTGGCAAGCACCTTTACCCACTGAATCATCTGTCCCCGAAGTGATACTTTAAAACATCATGTGTGCAGTAGATTGGACAATGAGAAGTCTGTTCACTAGTGCTCCTCAAAATAGAAGACTCACTGATGAAAAGTAAAAATAATTTTCAACTTAAAATCTATCATATCCCACATGAAAATAAAAAAAATGAATTTTAGAAAAATCTCAAAGGATGTTTGAGAGATATGTTCTTATGGGTGAATGGGGACTGAGATGCAGCGTGCTAATGAGAAGTGTGTCAGGCCTGGACGTGAGGGCTGCGCTGGACACCCAGCTGCACCTCTGAAATAGAATCTGCACTCTGGCAGCACCTCGCTGTGGTTTTCAGGACTGGTTTGTGCTTTTTCTGGCAAAGTGCACCTTACTATTCCGGTTGTGGGAGCTGGTTATTTATGGCTTTTTGCAATGCTACCACTGTTTATACCTTACATTGCTTTTTCAGTCTTCAGAACAGGTCCACATGGTGAATTATAGTATTATTCAAAGATCTTCATCTTTCCAAGTTTCTTGGCATGAAAACAAAGTCAGCCTGAAGGCCGGAAGTCACCTCGATACCTTAATGATTAGGAGGTGCTTTCCTAACATCACGCCCAGCCAGCCCATCACACTGGGCTGGCACTTTTCAGGAATCCATTAGCGATTCAAAAATGGATATGATCAATATCGGCCATGTCAGCTTCTCTCAACCGTCTGGCTCTGGCTGGGTCTATTCTCACGACCTACTTGAGTTTCTAAGTGTCCTATATTTCTCCCTTAATCTTAGAACTTTCCAGGTCTTCATCTCAGCCATACTAAGCTTCATCTCTAGTACTTTCCAAGTCTGGCTCACACAACCACCTTTCTTCATCTTCGGGCACCTGGGTCTGCAACACCATTGTGTTTGCTAAGCCCTCCTCCTGTTCTCTCCTGTTATTTCTCTTCCCTGGAAACTGCTGGGTTTTTGAGAGAATCAGCCACTGTTCCCCAGAGCTTCTTAAGGAGGAAATGACGTTGGTGGTGCTTACAGAGCAATGCCTTTTAGGAAAGCCCACCTCTTGGGGCTGGAGAGATGGCTTAGTGGTTAAGAGCGCTTGCTGCTCTTGCAGAGGATTTGGGTTTAGTTCCTAGCACCCTTACAGTGACTAACAATCATTGGTAGCTCCAGTCCCAAGGGATCCTATGCCCTCTTGTGGCCTCCACAGGTATTGCACACACATGGTACACGTGTATACCTGCGAGCAAAACACTTATAAAATAAAAATAAAATTTAAAGAATGTATAAAAGCCTCCTTCTTTCTACTTTCCATGCCTTCTCCAAGCCCAGGGAACAGAGGCCCATTCATAATTTGTGGGGCCACCATCTACACACACATGAAAAGCATGAAACACAGCTTTTCCTCCTTGTTAGTCAGTGCTCTTCAACTCACTGAGTCCAGGGTATGACTCCTTCCTTCCAGACAGCAGCGAGACGAAGAGACTCCAGAAGACTTCTTCTACTTTATTGACTTTCAGAGACATAATGCTGAGATTGCAGCTTTCCACCTGGACAGGTATGTCTGGTCGCTGGAGACGGTCCTGACACAAGGGTCAGGGAGGGGATGCTGCCCAGACCTTTGGGAAGGCCTCACGTAGTACCTGCTCCTTCCCACTTTTCATCTCTCCTACCTGAGTGTAGGGCCTTCAAATCTAATACCTCTTTCCAAATTCATAGGTTAAAAATACAAGGTCTTCTAATACAAGAGGAGCACAAGACTCAGTGAATGAACTTTTAATTTACACATAGCCCAGACCTGAACTCCTGAGCCTCCTGCCTCTGCCTCCCAAATGCTGGAATTACAAGTGTACACTATTACACCTGGAAAAATGGAACTATTTATAAAGAAAACAAGCCCTGCCACATGCTCACATTGCCACCGTAGACATGACGTCATCTTTTGTTCTCCTTCTTAGCCTGAAAGTGAGAAACACATTCCCATTTGCCCAAGGAGTCCTAGGGTGATGATGTTATAGGGCAAAGGGACATCCTTAAACTTCCAGGTTCCTCCTACTGCTCAGCCATTGCTACTGAAATGTGACCTGTGCATTCACATAGTGCGTACCTCCCTGGAACCTGGTTATTTGTCTTTTTACATCTGGTTTATTTCACTTAGCATAATGTCCTTTTCTGATTCATTTCTGTTGCTATGATACAATACCCTGACAAAAAGCAACTTAGGGGAGAAATGGTTTATTTTAACTCACAATTCCAGGTTATAGTCCATCACTACAGGGAAGTTAGAGTGGCAGAAATGTGAGGCTCTGGCCACAGCACATTCACAGTCAAGAGCAGAGAGAAATCAATGCAAGCTTAACACTCAGCTCCATTTCTCCATGCTTACACAGTTCAGGACCTCCTGCCTAGAGGGCTGGGTCTTCCTGCATCAATTACCTTAATTAAGAGAGTTTCCCACAGGCAGCCCACAAGTCAACCCAGTGTAGATGACCCCCTCACTGAGACTCTTCCTATATTACATGCTTTAGAATCTCCTTCCCTCTTATAGAACATTCCCGAGTATGGATAAAACACTTCGTGTGTATTTTTCATGTACTGATAGATGCTGGATTGCTGCAACTTTTCATCATATAAATAATGGTATCCAGCAGTTACTATGCAACACTACAGAGATGCTTAAAGACAGCCTCTTAGCATCAATTTTAGTGACGAGGAACCTGAACTGCTCTGAGCACCTGTTCCTTCAAATTACTCTCAGACCCATGGTTACGAACAAGGACTTACTCTTTTATTGAAACAGTATATCCGGCAAGAAACGAGAAAGGAAAAGAGAAATTCTTTAACAGATTATAGCCCTTCTGACCCCTATTGACCTAGAATAGCACAGACAGACAGACAGACAGACAGACAGACAGACACACACACACACACACACACACACATATACACAGATATTATCAGTTTAATCCCAGATATTATTTGAAACACAAATGGGACCATGTCTCATTGCTTCCAATGACGGAAGTACTGCTTGATATGTAAAACATACACACACATTCATACATTATTCTGGGTCAAGGGCAAGGAAGAGTCATGAGGGATTAAGGTCATATGCTAAGGTCACAAAAGGAGCACAAGGCTTAGTGACCTTATCATCGACATTATAAACAAGCTAAGGTAAGACTACATTTTTGGTTGCGATATTAAGTGAAACTCATTTGTCCAGAGTATGCTCATATTGTAAAAGTCATTAATACAATGGTATGAACATGGGTAAACAAATATCTCTTTTATTCTATTCTTCTGATAGATGCATGGAAGTGGATTCTTTGGTAATTCCATTGGGGGGCACTGACTATGCTTTGTACAGCAGCTGTACCATTTTAACTCACTCCAACAGTACCCAACAGTTTTGTTATCTCTCGTTTTATGTATGAACTACTTTTCTATTTGCTGTAACAAAATACCTAGCGAAAACCATTTAGGGCAGGAATGGTTAATTTTGGCTCATGATTTGAAGATACAATCCATCATTGTGGGGGGTGTCATGGTGGCAGGATCAGAAAGCACCCTGTAATCTTGCATCCACAGTCAGGAAGCAGAGGGAGATGAATGCTGGTGCTCAGCTCACTTCTCCGTTTTATTCAGTCTGTGCCTTAGATCTTTTTAGTGATGCAGAATCATAGCCACCCCCCCCAGACCCACTAAATAACAACCTGCATTTGGACCAGATCTTCCAGTGATGAGCATGCACATTCAAGTATGAGCAGCATTAACCCTTGGTGCCTCCTGGGAGTTTACCTGGGAGGCTCAATGGAGGAAGGATCCCTCCTGCACAACTTTCAGATTGGGGTTTGCTCTGGGCACAATCAGCTCCACACAGCAGAGACGCGCTTAGCAGCCACACCACTAGTATGGTCAGACACACCAGCCAGGTTCTAACATGTTGGTCCAGAGACAGGGCTTTTCCCTCTCAGATTTGAACAAGGCTCCTTCTCTTCCAGGATTCTGGACTTCCGACGGGTGCCGCCAACAGTAGGAAGGATAATGAATGTCACCAAGGAAATCCTAGAGGTCACCAAGAATGAAATCCTGCAGAGTGTTTTCTTTGTCTCTCCAGGTAGTGTATCAACCAGAGTCTACCTGGGTCTTAAGCATATGGTAAGACGGCAAGTCCGCTGTCACGTTCAGCAGCGGCTTGACTCCTTGTCACTAACCCATGCGTAATTGGTACAGGAGGATGCTGTCATCCGACACTCCCACCCAGGGCTGCCTGAGCATGACACCAGGTAAAGTGCGGTCAGTAAAAGCTGTGTGAGATGCTAGCAAGCCTGTGTAGGCACTGAACCTGCAATGCTGACCTCCCTGGAACCAGAGTTCATCCATCCAGCATCTCAAAGAATGTTCATCACATGGATGGGATGCTCTGAGACATTTGAAAATTGGTACCCAGGATGCTCAGTTTAGTAGCACGCTCTAGGCCCTACACCTGGCAAAAACAATGTTTCCTCCTTTTTCCCAAGCTGGAAGTTGGGAATTTCCCATCTTACTGCTAAGGGGTTTCTTGGGGCAGGACCTACAAGGCACGCCTACAGCCTTCCTTTTACTGCCCTCTTTCTCCCTCTACTTCTAGCTAACAACGTGTGCTTCTTCGCCAAGTGTCCATACATGTGCAAGACAGAGTACGCCGTCTGTGGCAATCCGCACCTGCTGGAGGGTTCCCTCTCCGCCTTCCTGCCATCCCTCAACCTGGCCCCCAGGATATCTGTGCCCAGCCCCTGGATCCGCTCCTACTCACTATCGGGAAAAGAGGAGTGAGTTGGTTCCCTGACCACAATGCTATGCCCAGAGTCCTGCAGTCCAGTCCTTCAGAGTGGCCACATTTGAACCCTACAAGCTGCCTCGATCCTCTTACCTAGCCTAGGATCAGCAGGCTGGATCTATTCTGTCCCTTTAGTTTACTAGGACTGGGTGACACTGAATTAGAAGACATAAGCTCTCCCCTCAAGATGTTCCTTGTCTAGTGGGTGGATAAAGTACTCAAGATTTTGAAACACAGCAATATTCCATAGCAAACACATAAAGAGGGGTTGGGAGATGGGTCTGTGGACAGTGCTTCTCATGCAAGCATGAGGACCAGAATTCAGATCCCCAAGTACCCATTTGTTTGTATCCCCAGAACCCTCTTAAAGCTGGATAGGTATGCTGACTGCCTATAATCCCAGCATGTAGGAGGCAGAATCAGTGGGTCAGAGGGACAAGCTGGCTAAGAGACTAGCAGGAACTGGTGAGCTCCAGCTTTAACAAGAGACTGCTCTATTAAATAAAGTGGAAAGCAATCAAGGAAGATACTCAACATCAACTTCAGTCCTCCACATACACACCTGCACCTGCACACACACGTGCCAACACATGATCATGCATGCATACCACATGCACATGCAAAGAGAAACACACAAAGAGTTTAGCGGGGGGAAATCCATTGCCCTAATCAAGACCCTTGAGGCCAAGAATCACTTGGCTGCATCCCCAGGGCCTAGGATCTAGCACAGCAGGTACATCAAATTAGTTGACTGAACAGGCCCATCCATGGTCAAACCACCATAATCTTGGTGGGAAGAAAAATTAACAAAAGAATTTCTGGAGGATGTGACAGATCCTAAGTCTTTGTAAAGGCAGAGTGTATGTGAAGTGTGACAGAGGCCAGCCTGTGGGAGGTCATGAATGGTACAGGAGCTGTGAGGGACAGAGCCCAAAAGACTTGATGAAAGAGATGTGGAGGGAGGTGTGGTGCCAGCCTTTCCACTCCCTGCCCTCTGGTATGTGTTCCCCAACCATCCACTAGCACCCAGCAAAGTGAAAGGTCTCAGAACCTTCAGAATGCATGGAGTCTCAACCTCCCTTCCCAGGTGTCCTTATCCAGGGTCCTGCTGAAGGGACCCAGCTAGCACCTGGCATCCTGAGATGCTATCACTAGCCCAGGGCAGGATCAAGGAAGCAGGGATTTGATAATGAGGAGAAGGTATGAAAAGGGCCCCAACACCCTGGCATCTTGGCTTTTCCAGCCCCAGGACTTCTTCTCCCCCTCAGGTGGGAGCTCAATCCCCTTTACTGTGACACGGTGAAGCAGATCTACCCATACAACAGCAGCAACCGGCTCCTCAACATCATCGACATGGCCATCTTCGACTTCTTGATTGGTAGGTACCCGACTGGGTTCTGCTGTTGGCCTGGGATTCCCCATCACCTTGGCAAAAGTGACAGCCTGGATTGAGAAGACCGATTAGCCCTACAACCTCCAACAGCCTCAGGAGTGGCAGAGGCCCAAGGAATAAAGTTGCTATGGCCTGGTCTCTTCAAAGAACTGGGAGTTGAAAGGTCACCACTGCTGAGGGAGGTGCGCCACCCTGCCATAGGCCCAAATGGGCATCGGATTAGATTAGAAGCTGTATGTTCCCATCACTTAAAGAAAACCAGTAGAAACGGGAAATAGACATGTGGCAGTGGGAGGGCAGAAGCCAGACTCAGCTCCATAGACTAGTAATTCCACCTTCCAGTCCCACCGTGACCAGGAAACACTAGGGAGGAAAGGAGTCAGTTACTGTGGCTACACATGATGTAATCCCAGCAATGGAGAGGCAGAGATAAGCAGATCTGTGGTGCTTGCTGGCCAGCCAGCCTGGCCTACTTGGTGAGTTCCAGGCCAAAGAAAGACCTTGTCTCAGGAAAAAAAGGGGTGAGGGATGGTGCCCAGGTCACACCAGAAGCTGAAAGGTGGCCAACACACACACACACACACACACACACACACACACACACACACGGAGGTGTGGGGCTAAGCAAAGCTCTCTTCTGGAAGGTAATTTACATGTTTATTCACGTTTATTCACTGAGGGTGTCTGGGCTGAAAACGTTCAACATCGATGGGTACAAGGCAATTCGGAGCACTGGGATACCAGGCTGGGGCTGTGGGCAGGAGTACAGGGAAACCCCTGAAATGCTGTGGCCCAAGTTCAGATTCCTATCCAAATGCTGACAGGCCTCTGTTCCCTCTTCTGTCCCCTTACCTAGAGGCCCTGGCTCTGATCTCTCCCCTCCACTGCAGGAAATATGGACCGCCACCATTATGAGATGTTCACCAAGTTCGGGGATGATGGGTTCCTTATTCATCTTGACAACGCCAGAGGGTAACCACTAGTGCTCATGTTCCAACTCTCCCCATCTCCAGCCATGTTTCATGCAGTTGCTCAGGAAGCAGAGACCCTGACAAGGGCCTGCACTGCCTAGGCCTGTCTCCATCTTGCCCTATTTTCCACCAGTCTTTTTCTCGATTCTCCAGAGTGAAAGCACTCTTGTGCCCTCCAGTGAACTAAGCTGAGGGGTGGGGAACTTGTACCTAGAGGCTTCTGTGACTTAGACTGAGGGGGCAGAGAGGCAGCTGCCAGTGTACCTCACCCCAACCACCAATTCCCACAAAATGAAGAGAGCATCAAGAGTGGGAAAGACGCCGCCTGCTGAAGGCTGTTTCTTCTCCTAGGTTCGGACGACATTCCCATGACGAAATCTCCATCCTCGCCCCTCTCTCCCAGTGTTGCATGTAAGTTTTCATGCAGCGGGTACCAAGGGCAGGTGGCAGTTCAGACATTTCATCCTGCTTGCAACCCAGCTCTGAAAGCCTTAATCGGTTTTCCCTGGTCTAGGACATGGTGGCTGGAATGACGTGAGTTGACTCATTTCTTACACCACACCTATCAATTTTCCCCGGCAACATCTTTCTCATCCTTCAGCATAGAACGAATTAAGATCTAATCTTTTAAAACCTGTCAGTTGCCAATTTTAATCTTTAACCCACTCAGATAATCACCCACTTTTGCAGAGCTTGACGGTCTTTGATTTTACTAATCAGACCTCTGCTTTGCCTGGCACTCATTTAAGCTCTTAAATATTGCTCTTTCATCTCTGTCTAAGCAAAATCCTGGTGAGAGTCCTGTGAAGCTGGGTCAGACAGACATTCTGGCCCTCCCCAGTGAACACCAAGCCTACTTCTGTGTCTCTGGCCACAGCTCATGACATTAGGTGCCTCTTACCTACAGCATCCCTATTAGCATTACAGAACATCTATCACTATTACAGTAACATCTATCACTAATAGACATGATTCACACCTAGCAAAGCGATCCCATTTGTTCCCAGGAGTAAGCTTAGGGTATGAGTATTCTAAGTCATCTCTTTAGGTTAATCACATCTCCCGTCTCTCCTCCTGAGCTAGATAAGCAGCAGCTGCTTATGTCAAAAATCAGTCATTAAGCTGTTTGCACAAGTCCGAGTCAGATTCATGCATTAAAAGAAATCGAAACCCAAAGTCAAAATGGTGCTACTCCCTTCTCATCTCTCTGGTTTCAGAATTGGACACAGACATTAGGTTAGCAAGAAATAACTTAAGAGGCTGGCTTTTGAGACAACAGATGCTTTATTCACCAATTGGAATCACCATCCAAAAGATAAAGTGTCACTTCAGTTGACTCATATAAGCACTGTCAAGAGTAAATGCCTACTGCCCAGCATCACCATGGGTAACTTTATAATTGAAAGAAAAAGTTCAAAGAGGGGTGAGATGGCTCAGCAGGTAAAGGTGCTTGCAACCAAGCCTGACAACCCAAGTTCCATCCCCAGGACCCACACGGTAGAAAGAATCAACTCCCACAAGGTGTACTCTGACCTCCACATGTACCATGGCATGCACAAACGCGCGCGCGTGCGCGCGCACACACACACACACACACGTGATAGAGCTCAAACAGCTTGGTAGACTCTTGACTAGTGGCAACTGGACAAGGGCTGTTAACTATTATTCTTTCCTTTCTGTGTGGTTTGCACTGGAATATGTTTGCAAAGACAATGGGGACGAAAGCACCAAGAATACCTGCTTCAACAGCTGTTTGTGGGGACAGGGCAAGTACAGGCAGATATTCCCTTACATTTGCTTATTTGGTTCCACTGGCTTTGTCTTGTCAGGATAAAAAAGAAAACACTCTCGCACCTGCAGCTGCTGGCCCAGGCTGAGTACAGACTCAGTGACGTGATGCGGGAGTCACTGCTAGAAGACCAGCTTAGTCCTGTCCTCACAGAACCCCACCTCCTTGCCCTGGACCGCAGACTCCAAGTCATTCTCCACACAGTGGAGGACTGCGTAGAGGCCCATGGGGAGCAGAATGTCATAGCTGACGACCCAGTACAACAGTGGGCTCCAGACTCTGGCCAGGCTAACCTGACAAGCTAATGTCTGCAAGGGTGACACCTCAGCACACATCTGGAGCCAGCGATGAGTGCTGGTGTGCCGGCCACTGTTTCCTCACTCTGAGTGCTGGAGGACCAGTCACAAGCTCAGGGAGGTGGCAGTCACGCTTCAAACAGCAAGAGGGATCCACCGAGCCTCATCTTTACCCTTGGATGGAGGTCACTGCTTTTACAGTGCGCTGCTGGGGCCCTCTGTCTTCCCAGAGGGCCCCTGCTCCATCAAGGCCACAGACAATCTTCTGAACACACTGGGAAACCTGGATCTGGGCCAGGCTTGGAAGGTTTGGAAGCTCTGTTCCCAGAAGAGTTTTAACCACAAGTCAAATAAAAGGACAAATGGATACTGGCTTCCTCCAGATTCTTACTGTATATACAACATAACACCTGGACCACATAAAACATCTTGCATATCTCAAGCAGACCTAAACTCTGCAAACGGTTAACTCTCACACTGATTCACATCAGACTCCATCCGTTCTGCTTGCATTCTAGTCCCAGGCTCCATTTGAATATAATAAGCCCTACTGGCTAGTCCAGTAACTTCTCAGAAATACAAAAGGTAGCTATCAAATAGAGAATTGCTCAGAAAAGAGGTGTTTCAATCTGAAGTCTTACCAACTGAGGGGCTGGGGATGTAGCTCGGTTAGTACAATGCCTGTCTGTCTAGCAGGCACGAAGCCCTGGGTCCATCCACAGCACCACATATAATCTAGGTACAGTGGCACATGCTGGTGATGTCAGCATTCAGGAGATGGAGAAAGAAGGATCAGAAGTTCAGGGTCATCCTCAGCTACATACAAGTTCCAGGCCAGCCTGGACTACAGGAGAGCCTGTCTCCAAACAACAAGAAAAAAGTTATCAGCTGAAATAACATCAAGTACATCAAAAAACTGCCAGCCAGTAACAACTGGAAATTTGGGTGACAAACATGAAGGAATGCACAGGTCAGGATGGCATGGGTCAGGCTGAATAGGCACATGAGCCTGAGTAAGGCCAAAAAGAGGGGCAAGGGTCTACCACAAGCCAACCACGATCCCCTTCCCCTAAATCCTGGCACTCCCACAAGGAGCAGGGCTACTCAAGACGTCCTTCCCTGAGGTGCTGGCCCAGGGAACATACCCCTGACAAGGGGATCCCATCTCTTCGTCTTCCTATGGAGTTGCTGGTATCATGGGCACTCATTTAACAGGAAGCTTTGATTCTTATTCCGTGCAGTGAGCAGTCAAGGAAAAAGAAATGACTTCATCAGAACCCTGTCTTTTGAGGAAGGCCACAGGCTCATACAGTGTGAGGAGAATAAGAAAAAGCATCACTAAAAGGGAACAAGGTCAAGAACTAGACATGTCATCAAAGACTTCTGCAAAGGCAGGACAAGTAACAGGAATAGTGTTTTGATTCAGTTCTCCGAGTCCGATGTAGTCCAGGCTGGCCTTCAACTTGCTACTGTAGCCAAGACTAGCCTTGAACTCTTGATCTTGTTGCCTCTGCCTCCCACGTGCCTGGATTATAGGTATGTAACACCATGCTCAGCTTGCAATGTTGTTGAGTCACCGCACATTATGGATACATGACCCCCAAGTCCTGTTTCCCTACTACTAAGCCTAAAGTCTTACCATGTCCCAGACACTTTACCAACCTCAGCATCTACACACAGGTTTTTAAACCACCTGAACATGCAAAACCCCCTACCTACCTCCAGTGAGCAAGGAAGAAAACACAGGCTCTCAGAGAGATTAACTAAAACCACAAATTATATGGTGAGACCTATTCCAAAATCCACAATATCACACCCAACTTAAGAAGTTCTGTTTTGTTGGCTGGAAAAAAAAATTAAGGTGAGTGTGGTAGCTCATACCAGCATATCCCAGCCCTTGAGAGACTGAGACAACAGGGTAAAGATCAAGGTCAACCTGGGCTAAAAGAAAAAAAAAAGTCTCTCAAGCAAGCAACTCTTAACAGAGGACTCTTAACCCCACAGCCTTCCTTATCCAGGGTGGCCTTTAATGAGTTACAGCTTCCTGCACCATCCGCTCTTTCTAATTTTTCCTCTGTGGAGGAAATCACACAGCAGAGTAAGTAAAAAAAATATTCAGACATACGTTCAAAGAAAAGCAGAGTTTGGGATTTCTAAACCAGTCCCAGAAGGGTGAGCGACAGCTGCAGCCCACATGCCCCCTTGACTACAAACTAGTTTGTCAAAGTTCCATACAAAAATTCTGCTATACTTTTCAAACTGATAGTAACTGAATTTGACTATGGCATCTCCAGTGTCTATACACTTTAACATTTCATTTTTCAAAACTTTCTTCATTATTTTATGTGTTATGTCTACAAATGTTTTGCCTGCATGTAAGTGCACCTGTGTCTAAACTGCCCATGGAAACCAGAAGAGGGTGTCTTATCCCCTAAAACTGGACAGGTGTCAGATGCCATGTGGGTGCTGGAATTCGAACCTGGGTCCTCTGCAAAAGCAGCCAGTGCTCTTAATGACTGAGCCCTCCAGCTCCACATTCCATTATTTTTTGACTAAACTTAAAAAAAAAAAAAAAGACCATTTCTACCAGAAAACAAAAACACCTAATTCTCAGAACTATCAAGTTCTTAGGTTTTCTTCTGAACCATTGCTCAACTTCCCATGAAAAAACATCCTGCATCTACATGAAAACCTTCCATGTTACCCTACAGCAAACAAAAAGATGACAGACAACACACGGGCTCTGAATCGATGGAGACGGCTTGGAGGGACTCACTGCAGCATTCTCAAAAAGCTGGACAATTCAGGTCTAAAGACAGTCAAATCATGTGGCAGTCTTGAGTCCTCTAAAATCACCACAGACTGACTGGTAGATTACCATTGCTGCTAGGGGAAACAGAAGGTTAGGATCCTAGGACACTAGTTGAATTGTCAACCAGTCAGCACAGTCTTACTTTGTGTGTTAAACATGCCTCATTTTATATTGTTAGTTCCTTACCTTGCACTCTCAGCCAAAAGAACTCGGGCCTGTCGGGAGGCTCATGCCTGAACAAAGTCTGCCTACTAGACGTAGGATATACCCTTCTCACATTCAGGAACACTAGCCAACACATCATAGCTGCAGCCTCCAGACATTCTAAATAATGAACTCATCAACTCTAGGCACAAAAACAAAAAATGTGGCACTAGGAAAACCAAAAAAGAGGACAAATTTATAGGTGAGGAAGAAAAAAAAAAGGCTGTAGACCCCATTCAGACTCAGCCTCAGCTGGGAGACCCTTGGCTCCTGTCCTGGAATGACTGCAGTGCTGCGGGCAGTGCAGTGATCCGGGGGCTACAATTACATTTCACTAGGCAGGCACACTTACTAAGTGCAGAATCCATAGATAATGTGGAACAACTGATCTAAGCTCTCCATCTAGTGGCAACTTTTTAAATCATAGCATTCCTAAAAATGGGCAGAATTTTTTTCTATGCCAAAACCCTACAACATAAGAAGGGAGAGATTTGATTCTCCTTCTTTGATATCTTTAAGGATATCAATGAGTGTCAAAGACCATCTAAGAGTAGCCAGCCAGGGCTTAACGAAAGGTCAGAAGGGTCTAGTTCCCTGTGGTTGGAGATTAAGCGTACTAGAAAAATAGACACAACAGTTATGTCATTTCAATTTTACAATTTGAGCACAACATTAAAATTAAACGTTGAGGGGCTAGAGAGATGGTTCAGTGATTAACAGTACATACTGGTCTTGTAGAGGGTCAGTGTTTACTTCCCAACACCCTTGTCAGGCCTGAGTCCAGCCCTATGGGCTCCAACACCCTCTTCTGACCTCTGCCAGCACCCACAAAGTGGTATACACTCACAAAAACAGACACATAAATACGATCCCAAAATCTTTTTAAAAATGAGTCTACACGGGCTAATGTCTTAAGGGGAGATGAAACTATGTTGAGGACTTTCTTCAGTGGTCATCTGTCCTAAAAATGGGCAGATGGGTTGGTCCTCCAGCAGGCGCAGTACAAAGCAGAAGCAATTAAACCATGTGCTTCTAGTACTTATCTCCAACTTCACAGCACATGAAAATACCTGCATCAGTACACCAGTTAGCATGATTAACGTCCTCCTCAGAAACCTGAGGAATAAGCATCAGAAAAAAGGCTAGATATATGCAAGATAAACACACCTAAGCCTTATGCACATCTTGTTAATCACCATGCTAATGCACAAATGTTTCCCCAGTAAATCTGTCAAAGTCCCAAGACCACAAAACCAATCCATCATCTATGAAAAGGAAATACAGGCTTTTGACTGGATCTTTCCATTACTTGATAAGCCAGTTTTTGAGATCCACTCTTTAACAAACTGAATTGGAACATATGAAAAACAAATACATTACTTTTTCAAAACACTGACCCCAACACTCACTTTCACTCTTGCCCCCTAAACTTTCAGGGTAGACAGAAGAAAAGAAGGAAGAAAAACTGATTCATTTAAGAATTTAAATTATTTAATCTTCTTTATTACGTGACCTACCATTAAGACAATCTATAACACAAATAATAGTATTAGCACACACAGTATAATCAGACTAGTTAGTATCCAGGAAACAATCAATGGTCCTCTGGCCACCTACACGTTTTCATGAATTCACTCATCAATCCAGAGACAATAGTGCCTAAAGTCCAAATATCAACTAGGACAAATTGTGTCAATCGTGACCACACGGGCATTAAATTGCACAAAGATAAAGCTTTAAATGTGGTAATTTTTAAATTTAGACTTATCTTAAAAAGTCTAAGATTAAAAACTACAAGAGAGAATAAGCAGCAAGCCAGTATTTTGAGTAGAGCTCGTTTGGGAGAGCAGGGTAAGTCTATGTATACAAGAACATACGTACACAGAAGCTGCAATTTTATGGCCGTCTACATAACCCATTTAAGTACATTTTTGGCATTTAAACAAATATAAAATCAAGCTTTAAGCCAGTAACATAATTTTTATTTTTAAATATAAAAAAGATAGCCAAACACAAAAGTAAGTACAGAAAACCCTCATTTAATATAGATGATGGAAATGAAAACTGCAACAAGGAGGCTTTCAACGCCACACTAAGATGTAAATAAAACTTCTTTCCCAGATTTATACTGCAAAGTTAGCAACAACCTAAAAGCTTTCAAAAAAAAAAAAAAAAAGCCTACCATGACCAATTTAAATTACTGGGAAAGAGTAGGAGAGGGAATTATGCTTACAGTCACTCCCAAAAATAACCCTACACTATATATAAATCACAACAAAAATAAAAGTGCCTACATTAGACTGTGAAATCTTGTTTTAAAAAACAATAATAAAATAAACTGTTGGGTGTATCGTTGGAATAATGTAACACATAAGGCTGGAAAATACTGAAATACAGTTAAGACTCAAAACACAAGTTCAAGTAAACACAAGTTTACTGGGGGGAGGGGGCAGAGAAATTCAAGGATAGACAGAAAAAAGCAGGACTTTCCAGCAGGATGGCCTTTCAGACCACAATCACCCTCATTAACATAAAAGGAGGGAGAAAGATTTAAACCAAATACAAAGCTTCCCCAGGGAACTGGGGGGAGGGGGGAGGTGAACCTCATCTACCTGGTTCCTGCTTCATCCCCATCACCTCCATGGTTCTCTCCCAGGCTTGTTCCACTTCTATCTATCCTCAGCAAATCTATCTCCTGGAATCAGCTGCCTTAGGGCAGGAGATTACATTATAGCCACAAGAAGGACAAACATTAGCTAGAAGCTTCAGTTAACAATCAAGAGTGTAGGTCTGAAAGTCTCATTCACAATTCTGCATCTGATGATCAATATTTGGCACCAGCTGGTTAAGTTCTAATCATAATCGGTGAGCTGAGGCAGAATTAAATCACAACCCAGTATTTGCCGTCTACAATTTGATTTCAAACTTAAAAGGGAGGTATAGATAGGCACACCAAAAGTATTTCAGAGTTGGAAACACTAACAACATAGAAACAAAACCAGGCAAAGAGAAGGGGGTGAAGAACTTAACTAGTCATGTATCTGTCTGGTAATTAGCAAAAATGGGCATTTTTCAAACTTAAACTTGTTTAGTTACAGGCAGATGTCTTTCTACTACATTAAGATTTTTCTATATCCATTTTCTAATCCTTAAAGGTTAAAGAAATCATTTACTCTATAAAGAAATACAGCTCACATGGCCAGTCATAAATATGCTTTAGATGGAAAAGTTGTCACTTAAAAAACTCTTGCACTGTTACATCATGATAAATCACTGGTGCAGGGATCCACCCTCACCACAAAGCATGACACTCACTGCCCAGGCTGAACACTAACACTGCACAGAGAGAAGCAGTAACATCAAAATCATAGAATTCTATTTATTTGTAAATGAGCATTCAGTTATGCTCCAAATGAAAAATGGTGCAATAAAAGCAACTTTTAGTATAAAGAGACAAGAAGCTGTGAAGCCAGTGGCCACTTGGCGCTGCATCAGGGAAAAGAAAGCCATCTGCAAGAAAGAAGCATGGACTGGGGAGAGGAGGGAGGCACACGAGGCAGATCTCAGACAGACAGCGACACAAAACTGTTGTACTGCTGGATGTTTCGTTTGAGGATATCTGAGCATGGGCCAAGAACACGTTCAAATCGAGGTCGGTCCAGCTTAACGCACTTCAAAGGACCACGTGCAACCACCGTTGCAGCACGAGGGCGGTTCATCAGTAGAGCAATTTCACCTGGAAAGGGGCATCAAGAAAGAGGAGGCTAAGAGCAGGCTAAGAGGAAGTCGTTTCCTTTAAAGGGTGCACTTCGGAGAAAGAAAACAAAGAGTTGTCTACTTAGTTCAGTCCACACAGTATCTCACATAAAAAAATTACCAACTAATAGACAGTAAGTCAGCTATTGCCACATGTGGTGGCACACACCTGTAATCCCAATGTTCATGGGATGTCTGCAGGTAGGATAATCACCAGTTAGAAGCTGCCTAGCTACACAGTGAGTTCCAAGCCAGTCTAGGCTACACTGTAACAAGCTTGGGCCTGCATCTATTAACTGAGAAAAGCAAAATCTTACACTATGTCTCTGAGAACCAAAAAAATAAAAAAGAATACAGGTTAAAAAATTTGCCAGGCAGGCCTATAATCCCACTACTTGGGAGGTTAAGCAGGAGACTGCAAGTTTGAAGGTAGCTTGCACTGGATCATGAGGCCCTATCTCAAAAACAAAAATTCAGAAGACAAAAATGAGCAAAACTACATTTCACTAAGAGACAACTTAAATCAGGCATTTGTTGTCAGGGAATTTAACATACCAAAATAATCAGAAGGCCCCAGTCGTCCCACTTCAACAAATTCTTCATTTTCTGACCGGCGTTGTAGCACTGCAGCTGTCCCCTATAATAAAAACCGCCAAAAAGCTAATCAGATAGCTCCTAACCCTGAGTAGTATTTTAAATATCCTGTGCACAAAGGTGAAGAAAAAGGATTTGGTGGTTATTTCAACTTGTCTATGTTCATATGGTCAAAGACGCCTGAGAAGGTAGTCATTCCAAAATCTTTTATTTCAGTTTAAACAGCATCCCCTGCTAGCCAGGTTCTTACCAAGCTGAAGTACTTAAAAGAAAAGAAAGACTCAAGTTAGTAAACTCTACGTAGCAGACCAAACTCCAGCTTGCTGCCTTTTCTGCAAATGAAACTTCATAGGACTACCACTCATCATTTAACTCTTCTATGGCTGTTTCTGCACTATGGCAAGAGCTGTCTCTCAAGCTAATTAGATCTGCTTGGCAAGCAAGATTATTTGCTCTATGTTTCAGATAACACAGTAACACTGAAAAGTTAAATCATTACCCAACAGCCCAAATACTTGCATTTTAAAAACAATGGTGCAGAAGCATCACAATTTGTAATACTAAATGGTTAAAGTGTTTTTAGAATGTTAGAGAACAGTTTCACTATTCACTGGAATAGTCTAGGGCCTTTCCAGAATGACTCAAATTCATTTAAAACTGTAATAGCCTAGCAGAAAGTCAAAAAATTCCATTTTGAAAGTAAAGATAACTTTTAAATAAAGCTGTCAGGTATTCTTTAAAACTAAAGCTACAAACCAGAATTAACTACCCCTTCCCTTTACTTTATAAAGAATCAAACACAGGATTGTTTACCTCTAAGATAATGAAGAACTCATCCCCCGGTTCTCCCTGGACCACAATCTTCTGCCCATCTTCAAATTGAACAGGTTCCAAAGCATCAGCTACTGTGAGGCGTTCCCACTTGTCCAAAGACTCTGAAAGACACGAATCAAAAGAATTTCTCAAGGCATGTAGTATTGCTAAAGAATTTTAAACAAACACAAAGTTTCCAGAGACTCAACCAAACAGCATCCCATTCACCTCTAACTACAGTGTTCCAGACTAAGCACGGCAATGGCACTGGTTCTCCTTTACCTCTAGTCTCCACAGGATCTCAGATTACCTGTAGATGACCCTCATCCTTACTTTACTCACGACAGTTTATATCAAATGCACACGACGGAAAAGGAGTAAGAAAAATGTAATTAATACTTAGTCCTGAATACTGTTATCAAGCAAAGCAAATCTACAACTACAGTACCCATATTAACAGTTTTACCATCCACATTTTTCCAAAGGTTCAAAGAATAACTTATCCATTTAAATCCTCAGTTGACTTTACTTATAAAACTTAAGTGGAACTAGCAAATGACTTTTGTTCCCAAGACCAAACTAATATTTCAAGACACTAAGCAAATGTCAAATGGTAAATAAGCAAAAAGTCAAATCACTCTTACCAAACAATTGCAGAGAATTGTCATATAAAAATGATCACCCCCTACCCCCACGGAGAATAGGTTCTAACATCTCCCAATCTACATTAACAAAACCATTGTTGGGAATACTCCACAGACACAATGAACTCAACCACTCAGAGAAACAGAGAAAACTGTGAATGTGTACAGTACGAAGGACACCAGCAGCCCTCTGTTCTTCAGGGGAAATAAGCATATTGATGTCTTCAGAAAGCTTTCCCCAAGTCTAGTCAATTCTAATAAAGAGGTTGGTCCTATATTACAAGTTGAGAATACTTTAAAATTTCTATTACCATACCTACACTGTCAAAAACCCCATACAATTTTCATCACTATTAGCAAACAAAACATATATGAGGAAGCTAGATGACTTGCTTTGGTTTGGTTTTGGTTTTTGTGGCAGGGTCTCTCTGTAGCCCCAGCTCACCTAGAACTCGCTACACAGTCTACACTGGCCTCAATCTCACAACGATCTGCCTGCCTCTGCCTCCCAAGTGTTGGGATTAAAGGTGTGCAGCACCAGGTCCGGCTAGAGGACTTTCTATGAAATGTAGAAAGCTGTGCCAAGTATCATGAACACTTCAATTTAACTTTGCCATACAGTTTTCCAAAACTCACCTAAAATAGACACTTTACTAAGGAATTCTTCATACATCTTTCGCTTTCTCAGTGTGCTTCCCTGTAAATAAACAAAGAAAGTCATATCCAAAATAGAGGTAATTATCACACAATGCAGTGAATAAGTTTCAAATAAACTAAAACAAATAAATACAAGCTTGTCCTTGTTGCTTCTTCACTTGTGATCATTTTCTTTGTACTCAAGATGGCAAGCAGCTGCTCAGCTTGATTAAAACGCTCCCTAAAACATGTCCCTAAAAAGAACACCAGGTCTGAGGCCAAAGTACACAGCTCTACCAAGCATGAAAATGTCAAGCAGTTCTCTAAAAAGCAACTAAGTAATTAATATAGGAGACTGCAAGACTGTAGCTGACTAGGCTATCTAGAATCTTCCCCACAACCTCTCAAGCAGAGAAATAAAGTGCTGCCACTCACAGTTGAGACGGACAAGAGATAGACCCCGCACTCCTAAACTTCACTAAGCTTACAAAGCCATACATACATCCTGAACACTCCAGACCCCATCTAAGGTTATCTACAAAGTTTATTCAATATATTTTAATGGAAGAGAAAAAGAATACACAGTGCTTTATGATAAACTTTCCTCACATGGTAAATGACCTCACTCACTCCCTCCCACCCACCCCCGGCAAAACTCATGATCTATGTAAACTTGTGTGTGTGTGTGTCTGTGTGTGTGTGTGTGTGTGTGTGTGTGTGTGTGTGTGTGTGTGTGTATACTCAGTTGTTTACAATATTTTTTGAAAAAAAAGAGGACATGAGATGGGAGTGGGACATGATAATGCCCCACCATCAGGCCCAAGGACGAGAGGAGGGAGAGATGGACATGATCAAGATACACTGTTAAAAATGTTATGAAATTGCCAAAAACAGAAATATTAAAAGAAATCCAGAAAATTTTCAGTTATCAGACTACATATTCTTCATAAAAATTTATTTTAATTGTGTGTGTGTTTGTCTGTATACAAGTACAGTGCCCATGGAATAGAGAAGAGGGGGAGAATGTGCTCTTAACCACTGGGCCATCTCTCTAGCCCCAGACTGCATATTTTGAAATAGCTGTAAGGGCACCACAAAAACTTAAGAGACCCATTCAGAATGGCCAATGCCATTAGCTGGGACTTACACATCTGAAGCTCATCTGTAAGATTATCATAAATCTTGAGGAGAATGTCTCAGTGGGCTTATTACTCTGTTCATTCCTCTACTGAGGCGCCAGAGATGACGTGACATATGCATTACTTCCAGTTTAGAAAAATGGATTATTTCTGAATGGTCTTAAATAACCCTATGCACTTAAAACCAGTCCAAAAAGGGGAGATAGAGAGATGGCTCAGTAGTTAAGAGCACCAGCTGCTCTTGCAAGACCTGGGTTTGGTTCCTAGCACCTATATGGCTGCTAACAACCATCTATAACTCCAGTTCCAAGGGTTCCTAATCAGTTCCTGATGCCCTCATCTGGCCTCCATGGTCACTGCACACACATGGTACACATACATACATGCAAACAAAACACTCTTGCACATAAAATAAACCAACAACCAACCAACAGGCAATCTATGGTGGGTTAAGATTAGGTAAGATTCGCCAACTGCCAAATGAACAGACTTCTAAACATGAGCTGACCATTACGTCTGTACCACGTTTGTGTTATTTCCTTGACAAACTTTTCTTCTAATTTCACTGTCTCAATGTAACACTGCTAACCTAGGCTTAATGCTAAATACTCAACCATTAGGAGTAGGAATACTCATTTAATTTGATACTATTTAAACAGTAGTTGCATAGATCAGAAAAAGCTAAACCTCGACAAACTCTCACCATAAGGATTCTTCGATAACTGTCTCGGTCGATACCCCACAGTTTCACATTTGTCTTTGCTTTGACAGTGGCTGCTCTTGGTGTTCCATAAATCAAAGCAAGTTCTCCAAAGCTCCCTCCTTCCCCAACACTGGTTGCCCATTCATTGTTGACATAGACCTAAAATGCAATGACGTCAGAAAGCGGGTTCCTCTGTATATGCAAATGTATTAACTTTCAAACTTTCCTAAAAGCTAAGACTCCCAAACCTGTTTCAAACAAGAGTACATATACTATGTCTACAGAGCACAGCAGAACAAAAGCACTGGCTTCTGACAAGTGAAATGGCCAATTATCTGATCTGATAAAAGTGCTCTATAGGGATAAGGAGATAAAATGTTCAGGCAAGCATTAACATCAAATGATATACATTTACAGAATACAATGCTGAGCATTGTGCAAAGCATTTTATTTGCATTATGTCAATGACTTTTCCAATAATCCTATGAGACTGATGCTATTTTTATCCTTTTTCACTTGTTAGGAAAAATAAAACTTAGCAAATTAAAAAAGCTGTGTTTAGTGACACCCTTAGCTTGCTTAGTTCACAGGATACACATACTTCTGAACTGCTACCCCAGCCCAAAGCTGTAAAGTACATGTCTAGATGGACAAATTACCTTTAAAACATTTGTCATAAAAATATTTGGAAAAGGTGTTGGCAGAACTGACATATATAGCCCATAATCACCAGCCCTTGACAAACACTATGCTTAATGCTTTAAGAAAAAAAAATAAAAATAAAAATTATCAACACATTTCGCATTTTTGCTATTATTAAATCTTACATCCATTTCTCCTTGGTCAATCACATAGAAGTTATCCCCTTCATCACCTAAAATAAGAGTTAAAAAGTAATGATTATTAAAGAAAAAGCACATGATCAAATTAAGAAAGTTTCCTGAGTGAAAAAGGACATTAAAGAAACATGCCAAATGATCAAATTAATAGTAAATCCGCATGGGGAGATATTAAAAGACTAAACACTAACACAATCTTTAAGGGAAAAAAAAAATCTAGCAACAGAGCTAGGCATGGTGGCGTGTACCTTTAATCCCAACACTCAGGAAGCAAAAGGAGAGGCAGAGGAAGGCAGGTCTCTGAGAGTTTAAGGCCTGGTCTCTATAGTAGGTTCTAGGCCAGTCAAGACAACACAGTGAGTCTTTGTCTCACCAAAAAAAAAAGGAAAAAAAATTCTTTTTTTAAAACATGAAATTTATCACTTCTTTTACTTATTTCATAATAACACCTTTTAAAATTGTACATTTTTTAAAGCCACTGACAGGACCCATGAGATGGTTCAGCAGGTAAAGCTAGGGGGTAAAGGTGCCTGCCACCAAGCCTGAAACCTAGTTCTGATCCCTAGGACCCATATGAAAGAAAAAGAGAACAGACTCCCATAAGATGTTCTCTAACTTCCACACGAGCTCGCTCGCGCTCTCTCGCTCTCTCTCTCTCTCTCTCACACACACACACACACACACACACACACACACACACACACAGAGTCTCTAAATATATTTAGTCAGGCATTGTGTCAAAAGGCCTTTAATCCTAGCAGAGGCAGTTCAGCTTGTTCTACGTAGTGATTCCTGGCCACCTGGGGCTACAGGGAGACCCTGTCTCAATATAAATAAATTAATTAATTAAATAAAAATTAAAAAGGCAATTAACTAAAATATTTTTAAACCACTTATGTGTACAAAGTCATTAACTGCTGTGGCATGTATAAGTACTACAAACAATTAATAGCAAAATACAAGGCTGCCACAAAAATGGGAAAATATAGTTTATGAAAACCCATGAAAATGTCAAGAATAAGAAAAAGACATCCAAAAGATAAGATTCATGTTAGCCCACAGGGCAAAAACAATTACAACCTGTAGGAGGCACAGAACATCCAACAGACGGGCTGCATGATGTAGAATGTGGGTGGCTTACTCATGTATTTTATCTTAAATATGGTTATTAATCAATAAAAAAGACACAGCTTGTTCTGAAGTTCTACACAATAGACTTTTTCTTTAACAGTGACTATAAACAAAAGTTAACACAGGAAAACCAAGTCTTTAACAAAAGCTTTCTTTTTAACTTAGGACAACTGATAATTATAAAAAAAAAAAAAAAAGAAGACTCAATAGTGTAAGAGAAGGAAATGAAACCAAAGAGAAAAACAAACTCCAATAAAACAAAACCAAAGCAATGTTCCAGTCTCACCTTCTCTCCATAACCACACCACATGTCAGCAGCCCTTACCTTGCTGAATAACAGTCTCTCCAGCAATAAAGGAGACTGGGAACATGGCATCAAAAATGTCACTGTAAGACAGAGGAGGCCCAGCATTAGAATCACAGGTCTCCTCTGTAGACTTCAAACATTAACCTTAAATTAAAGCTCTTAGATTTTCAGTCCTGATTATTACTGAACAACTAAGAGTCTAAACCTTGCAACAACGACAAGTTTGGGACTCCAGCCTCTTGGGAAAGCAGTTTGTAAAAAGAAACCTGTACCAACCTTCTCTCATTGTCATCAAGATGTGAAAACAGCACATTCTTTTCGATGGCCTTGGCTAAAGCAGCCATTGTCTTATAATCTTTTGGTATAACCTAGAAAAAAAAATGAAGGTCAAATGAAAATTCTATAAACCAGTTATTTCATGTTTGCAACTTGTATTTCAATTAATGCCAAGCCACACAATGGTGTTTAAACAAGGGTGTTTTGGAGTTAAATATTTTCACTACAACACACTTGTACTATCTTCGATTCACAAAGGACTCAACAAATCCCCTTACCTACAGCCAGGCTTTATATTTAAAGGCCAGTACTTGGTTCCAATAGCTGAACAAACCAAAAACATTTTGAAAAAGGTCATTTTTTGAGGCAAAACTTTAGCATTTTATAACAATTAGTCATTTTTAAAACCATGATCTTATAGTACTATTAGTCTCTCAAGCAGCAAGTGCCTGGGATTCCGTTTCTCCTGAAGGCCAACAGCTAACTCAAATGGCCGGTGGGCTGAGAAAATGCATAATGGAATGAATTAAAACTTGCAGGATAGAAGGTTAAAAGCTAAAACATGAAGCCGGGCGTGGTGGTGCACACCTGTAGTCCCTCAGCACTTGGGAGGCAGAGGCAGGGAGATCTCTGTGAGTTCAAGGCCAGCCTGGTCTACATAGTGAGTTCCAGGACAGCTGGGGCTACAGGGAGACCCTGCCTCAAAAAGACCCCCCCAAAAAAAGCTAAAACATGAATTATACAGTATCAAGAAACTGACACCATGAATTAAGAGAAAAAGGACACTGCTCCTTCACTGCACAACAGCGTGGAGAAGAGCAGCCAGGAAAATGCAATTACACAGTGGTTTATAGGTGCCGCTGTTTTCTCTCCTGACACTATATTACAGAAACCTGCTCCTCAGGACAAAGAACTGTCCCTTTTTCTTTATACAGAACCTTTACTCATTAAAGGAGAGCAGCTGACCACCAGGTGGATCTCAGAAATATTTCCCTGCTGCTTAGACATTAAAACTACCTTTCGAACATAGGATGCAGCATCTTCCTCCGTGTAAACTTCAGCGCTGATAGCACCTCGTCGCCGGCGACCCTTCACCACTGGGTTAGGGGGAGGAGGAGAGATTTCATCCTCCCTGGAGTCTGTGCGATTACCAGTTTTCTGTAGATTCTGAATCTGTTTTGCCTCCTCCTGAAAGAGATTGTTAAGACTCTAAAGCTAGTATTCTCAAATTCCAGTGACAGTTCAAATTGGATCATTTCAAATCTCTTCTAGTACCAAAAGGGAAAAATTTTTCCAAACTCTGCGTGCATGCAGTGTAAAGTCTGAAAACAAACACCCTCAAGACCCTCTGTTGACGAGTTCCATTCCGTACTAATAGGCAATGCCATTAGGGTATCAATCTGATTCACGTAAAAACAGACCAACTATTATTATTCTTTTTCACTCTAAGAAAAAATAAATTCTTGGTTTAAAAAAAGTTGTTAGACCTGAAAGAATACAGACTGTGTTTTAAGCCAGCCATGGTAACACACACACCTTTGATCCCAGCATTCGCATTCAGGAGGCAGAGGCAAGTAGATCTCTTGAGATTGAGGCCAGCCTGGTCTATAGGTCTACACGGTGAGTTCCAGACCAGCTGGGATTACAGGGAGACCCTGCTGCAAAAAGACCAATGGAATGTCACCCGTGTTAGAAAAAATAAACAGCTCATAGAACTGGGGAGTTAGCGCAGACAGTAAAGTGCTTTCTGTGTAAGTGTGATGGATGACCTGAGTTTGATGCCCCAGAACCCACAAGAAAATGAGGGATATGGCATACACTTGTAATCCCAGCACTGGGGAAACTGATGAGACAGTCCAGCCTTACTGGCCAGCCAGCCAGCCTAGCCAGCAAGCTCCAAACAATGAGACTTGTCTCAAAAAAACCAGGTGGGTAGCTACTAAGGAAAAAAAACAAGGATGTTTTCTGACACACACAAACCACCAACATACACACACACACACACACGCAAACGCACACTATACACAAGCAGAAAAAAATAAACTGCTGTTTTAGAAATTTTCTATAAATGTCCATATTATACCTCCAGAAAACTAGCTGCATCTAAAGGCAGCAAATGGGGTAAGAAGACCTTTTACTGTTACACCCTTTTATGCCTGCAGAATTTTGAACAGTGACTTTAAAAAAAAAAAATCTGTGTTTTAGAAAATTCACTTTATTTTCATTTGGGTAGTACCAGTGACTAACTAGTAAGACTTCCCTTCCCATATTAACACAGAACTATAAAGCTTAAGTCTTTCCCAAGTTTGAAGTTTAAAAGCATTAAAAAAAAAAATTCTACCCCCCAAACTAGCAATTGTCATTTCACAAAAATTTCATGGGAAAAGAAAGAAAATCCAAGTGAGAGGCTAGCGAGACAGCTCAGCTGGTAAGGGGCCTGCTGTGCAAGCATGTGGACCTGAGTTCAGATCCCAGGACCCATGAAAAGCTGAGTGTAGGTGCAAATATCTGTACAACCTAGTTGAGCAGGCAGACAGGCAGATCTCATAGCTCTCTGACCAAATTCTGCAGCCAATAAATGAGCTCCTGTCTCAAAGGTAAGAGAGCAACAGTTGCCTGACATCAACCTCTTGCCTCCATATGCAGGAGTAAGCATGTGCATGTGTACCTACCCCCACACTCACCCCCACGGTTCTCATGAAATCTCATTTGGAACTGTATTTTGAAATAACAAAACAGCCTGATTTTAACATTCTCAAGGATTCCAGTGACTCTATAAAACAGCAATGCGAATATAATCTAATCTTGATGACTCAGAGCCATTACTGAGATCATCACTTTCCAGTATGTACAGTGACACTTTTTTTATATCCTTACTCTGCTGTTGTCAGCCAGCTGTCAATCTCTTCAGCTCTTCTGCTTATGAAAGCAAAAACAAGACATCTTGTGTCTACTACTGGTTAGTGGTGTGCTCTTCATTCTTCCGTATATGCTCTGCACTAAATCGAGCTTGATACGCTCAATCTTTAAGTTCAAATTCTGTTCCCACCACTCTCTTAAATGAACGTTTTCCTAATTAGGCCTTGTTATCGTTCTCTGAGGTAAACTTCCCACCCCAATGACTTGAGGCTTAGCCATATGACGTGGTTGGGCCACAGACTCTATGTGGACATGTCACACCATGCACACTACTGTGGTCTGGCTCTGCTGGCCTTGGGCTTCTGATCTTTCTCTGCCTTGAGAACAGCAAGTCCTGTAACAATGGCTGTTCTTTCCTCAGAACAAGATACACAGTAAAGACAAGACAGGCTGAGCCCAGAATTACACATGACCAAGAAATACACCAGCTGTTTGGCAAAGTAGTGGAAATTTGGGGGCTGCTATGTTGCTGCAATACCTAATTACTACTATGATTATACCTGTTATTTAACTTCCCTTAGTTTCAACTGCTGCATTTGTAAAATGGGGGCAGCAACCTACCTCACACATCTGAAATAATGAATATTTAAACACAGTGCTTCAGAGTATTTGGCACAAGGAGACACTCAAAAGTAGTAGGTAAGAGTCTTATCTACCAGACAGCAAGCTTCTAATAAATACATGCATAAGAGGACTCAAGTTCCAGACACATGATCTGAATTAAAATGTAGACGTTTTCAGAAGACCAACTCTGATTGTTTTATGGTGTATTTCTTCAGACTTAATAACTGAAAGTTTCAGAAACATAACTCCTGGGTAATGGAGAAAGAAGGGATAAGAATATGACAGTTTATTTTCAGATATAAAAATGAACACTTGATATATGAAATAATGACCTGTTAAAAGGGAAAAAAATCTACGTAATTGAAAATCCAGCTACATATATTCAAGGTACAGAAGAAGAATTTTAATATGTAACTCTGGCTGGGGGTGGGGGGCGGGGAAGGCCATGCACATTAAGTCTACAATCCCATCTGTACAGAAACCTCCTTAATAAATCTTTGCTTTCCACCTTGGTCAGTCCTTAAACAGTCCTGTGGTAAATACAGGCTTTGAAATTAGCACCATATGCTCAACACTCCCTATAAAAAGACAGGCACTTAATGTCTCACCAGCTTAATCCCCTCATTTGATGATTTCTATTGATGTCCAAAGAAGAGGGATCACCTTACCATGACCCATTTCAGAACTAGATCTCCAGGAACGCACTTGATTTCAAAGCAGGGAACACTGGTGGCCAGGACTTCCATTATTTAGAAATTGCTTAAGGAAGAGAAAGCCAGAATTTCTACTACAATTCCAAGACAGCAAGGCTACATTCAGAGGGATCCTTAGTAGTTCTGTTTTTTTTCACCCCACCAATTATTCTAATCATGGTACTAAATACTAATTTTTAAAGTTTCCTAGAAAACAGTGTAAGACACGCGCTACTGAGCCACCAAAACATGTAAAGACTTTAGTGTACAGATTCTTTTCTATAAAATTTTGGATAAGAAACTATTCAATGTGAAATAATGCAAATGTTTCTACTGTACAATTAGGCATCACTCGTCAATCAGAAAACATGCCCCACCTGCCTCATGATCTTCCTTTAAAACCTCAGTATGCACAAGAAAACCTGTATATTCATCCCAGTGACTTACCAAAGCAAATCGTATCTTAAATACTTAAAACATTTGATGATACAAACTTTTTCAGCCATTACCTCCTGAGAGAAGTACACTGAAGCTCTATCCAAGAGGCAAAATCATCACTGTTCTTAGAAAGGCACATACTGGGCAGGGCGTGGTGGCGCACGCCTTTAATCCCAGCACTCGGGAGGCAGAGGCAGGCAGATCTCTGAGTTCATAGTGAGTTCCGGGACAGCTGGGGCTACAGGGAGACCCTCAAAAAAAAAAAAAAAAAAAAAAAAAAAAAAAAAAGGCACATACTGTACATGTAGGTCACACTGACACAGCACGCAGATGCAACTACACAGAATAAAAACTGGAATAGATTTTGTTCTGGGGAAAGCAAGGCTAACTAAACTACAAATACAGTACAAATATGACAATCATCAGCTGTCTCTCCTCACTCTTCAGTTAATTTATCTAAGAGATTTTCTAACAGTAAAACAGAGTCCAGAATTTCTGATATACCATCCCAAGCTAGACTCAAATGTTTTATTATTCTAACTTTAAAAGTTGAGATAAATTATAAAAGCTTACCTGCTTTCCTGAGAAAAGAATTAATTACTTCCAACTATAGAATTTTGAATTTCAATTGCTGTACTACTTTTGATTGATTTTAACTACTAGTCAGTTTTAAGAACTAATTTAAACAATTAAAAAGGAACTGTATGAAAACCCTTTATTGCCAAGCAAAGAGCAGAGATTCACTTCCTGATCAATTCTGATTAAAGCTTTAGAAAGTACTACAAATGCCTTCATTGCATTTCTAATCTGAGCTTCTGCACCAGACATAGTCAGGATTCCTTTTCTCTTAAAAAGCTGTAAATGAAGAAACTCCAAATCTAACAATGTCAGGGTCACGGCATCACCTCCCCACATTTATTTTTACCTTCTCCAACCTCTCAAAGTATTCCCGAAGGAATGCCATGGGTCTCTCGGGTCGGACAGTGCACAACTGCACAATTGAATCCTTCAGCAGGGCCTGAATGTTGTGCTTCTGCACGTAGATCTCACACTCCCGGAGACTGCGCTCCTCCTCACTGGCGGCAGCACTGCCAGAAGCCATGGTTCTCTGCAGAGAGCACAGATGCTGTGTAAGCTGGAGAGCACACACACAGGCTGGGCCCATGACTTATAGGCAGCAAAGGGGACTGTGATATAAAGTATGTACATAATTTGAATTCTTCTAAATAAGTGTTCCACTTAGCTCCTACTGTTCACTCTGGGTTCTGTAAGCAGAATGAGGGCCTCTCCTCAGCTCCTGGGAGGAAGTGTGAGCCACTGGCCCTGCAGAGGCAGGCTGCTGAGAAGGCAGGCCCTTAAGGGAATTTCATTCAGTTCTCTCTTGCAAAAGAAACCATGATGACGTGGGAAATGTGTAAATGGTAAACAGGACAGAGAATCACAAGGGCACACAAGTCAGCTCTAAGTGTAGGCACAGAAGTGCAAGGAAGAACATCTAACATTCCCTTTGCGTAGTTCCTATCCCAGGAGCACAGCTAATGCACACAGCAAACCACCAGAGCAAAGGAGCCCATTAGCCAGATGTTAGTGTCATCACATTTTTGAAACACAGAGTCTGGGATGACTTTTAAAAGCAATCTTTTATTCCAATAATCTTTTTCTAAACTCCAGTCCTACATGGTAATACACTTACCAGTGGAAATTAAAAAATGAAAAAAAAGCCTTAGTATAGGGAAAAAGAACTACCAGCTACATTAAGATTTTCTTCATCTGGACAGGAATATGTTAAAACACAACAGTTTAAATATTAAGTTCAATAGATAAAGCTGTATTTAATGGATCTGAGGGTCAAACTACTTCATTAAAGTAACTAACCTTATCACAGAATCAAAAACTTGGTAAATTAACAGCCACTGTTTTCCTTCCAACTTCTAACTACTAAGCAATTAAGTTTAGAAAATGAGTTCCCCCTCCACTCTGCAAATGAATTCAACGCTTATCATTTTTCAAATTATAATGCACACAAAACCACTGAAATAAAACTGTACATTTAAAAGAAATGCCAGAATAAAGTGCTAGTCAGAAGCGTAATTCTCATTTTGTTTTGGCGGCTTTCATGATATAGGTCACTAAGCAACAGAGCAGGCTCTGTGACAAGCATAAACTAGAAACCCCAAAGAATGTGCTGTTAATCCAGAAATAAATATTTAAAAATTCATTTACTCGAAGATAGATTTGTTCTAATCACTCTTTTGGATCTATCAACTACATGAAACAAAAAGCTTCACCAAGAACAAGGCTAAAACAAATCTTTCACACCTCAGAGCATTCTGTCATATTTTAAGAATACCACCAATACATGCATTAAATTATCAGAAAACATTCTAAGACCCAGTCTTCAACTTAAGAAGACAGAACTAAACCTAAAATGTGAAAATGGTTTATGTAGTTCAAAGACAGAAAAGAGGGGCTGGAGAGATGGCTCAGGGGTTAAGAGCTCTCACAGAGAGGACCCCAGTTCAATTCCAAGCACCCACATGGCGCCTGACAACTATTGTTAACTCCAGTTCCAGAGGAATTCAAAACCCTCTCTGACCTCCTCAGGCACTGCACATGGGTGCACTTATACACATGCAGGCAATAATTACACGCATACACACATATTAAAAAAAAAAAAAAACAACCAAAGATCTAAAAGGCGGCACTGGTAAGGACAGTTCAGGAACAAACATTCCTGCAAATTTATGCAGTCACCATGTGAACCCCTAAATAATCAGACTGTACGGCCTTCATATTGTTAATCAGGTATGCCTTGATTAACTCCATCCCAACTACTCAGCTCCCCACCCCCAAATGATTTGAACGGCTTTTAAACATTGCATTGTCTCTATTCTGCATTGTCTTTTAAACATTGCATTGTCTCTATTCTGCATTGTCTCTATTCGTAAGAGGTGGGCCTGATTCTTTCTTTTGAAAAACCAGTCGTGATATAACTCTCTTTCGGAAGGATTCCACTGGAGGACATTTAAAAGGCATTGAGGAAGTGTGTCTGACACAGCCCGCATCCCCTCCCCCCGCCCCCGCCTCGGGGTCATCCTGGCCACTGTTGTGGAGTGGAGGGCGTCCTCACGCAGAGCCTTGCAGTACCCCAGCTGGGCCCACACGCAGAGCCGGATGGGTTCACGGGCGCCGAGTATTCTCGAGAGGAAGGACAGCAAAGTGCCCTTCACTGCACCGAGGCCACCGCCACGATCACTAAGGAAGGAACGACGACCCCCTCATCCTCTGCCAGGCGGAAGGCCCCAGCTGGGAGCAGAACCTGGGGAGCTGGGAGGTGGGGGGGCGAGGGGAGCGGCTCTGGAAACGGGGGGGGGGGGGGGGGGAAGCGAGCCCGGACAAAGGGAAACCGAGCTAGACTGACATCACCGTGCGGAGGCCGGAGGGCGGCGGTCCCGCGGAGGGGAGGGGAGGCTGGAACGGCAGTGCACACCGAGATCACAGCCAGGCGTCGAGAACGCCCAGAACCATGGCGGATCCGGGTACAACCCGAACTGTTGTCCTTCAGGAAGTGGGGGAGGGCGAGGCCGCGGCGCGCGGGGGCGGAGGCGGCCGCCGAGCCGAGGGGAGCAGAGGGCCGCGCCAAGCCTCGGAGGGCCGCGGAGTGGGGCGAGGTGTGGGCCCCGGCCGGGGGCGGGGCAGCGGGGAACCACCGCAGAGCGACGCCCCGGCAGCCTCCGGCCTCAGGCCTCGCGCAGAGGGATGCCGGCTCGGCCCGGAGGCGCCAGGCCTGCGCAGGGGGTGCGGCTGTCCCCCCGCAGCGCGCTCCCCGGGACGCCATCTTGGATCGCTCCCTCGACCCCCCCAGCGGACTGCGGGGCAACGCGGCCGCCGGCTTTCCGGGACGCCAGCGGACCCCACTCACCTGCGGCCGGGCGGCGGCGGGCGCGGGACGTGCACTAGAAGCGAGGTTGCCGAGTGCCGGGCGCGCTCAGGATCCGCTCGCAGTCTCACTCCACTCAGGGGTAGCGGCTCACAGCAGCTCCACCGGAAACGAGCCGGCCTCAGCCAATCAGTGCTCGGCTGCTGACGTCAATGCGCCTCGTTCTGGCCAGAGCGGTCACCGTGGCAACCTTAAAGGCACAGGCGCCTCAGTTCCTCCACGCCCCCGCCTCACCCCTTGCGCCTCGCCCCTTGCCCCTCGCCCCTGTCCCCTCGCTGTTCTTTGCCCATCCTACCACGTCGCGTATCCGCAGCCTTTCCTCTCTCGCGTCTCTTCTTTCCAGTCTCCCTGTCCTTGTTGCTCTTTCCCTTCACCTGCCCCCCTCCCTTACCTGTCCCTGCGTGTCTCAAGTCCTCTAGATCCTTCTGCTCTTCTGTCCCCGTCTGTGCTCTCCTGTGATCCTCCCGGCGCTCTCACTCCTGCCTCCCTTCACGCCTCTGCCTTTTCTCCCCCCCTTCGACCCCTCCTCCCGAGGACCCACGTGGGGCGTCTCTGATGACAGGTGGGCGACTCCGCCCTAGGTCCTACAGTAGGGTTGGGGGTGGGATGCAGGCGGGGAGGCTCCGGCTGTTTTCCAAGCCTGAGAGGAGGGGGAGGCCCTGGCCGATTTGCAGCAGCTGAGCACAGGCAGCGGATGCTCTGGGATGCGCGTGCCGGACAGCGCATCCTGTGCTGGCCCTGGACACCCGGGACTTGGGCTGTCATCCGGTCCAGGAAATCTGAGCCCTGTCAAGCCTCTGCCTGGCTTTTCTGACTGCTCTCTCCTCCGGGCGCTCTGAACACTTGGAGGCCCTATGCGGGAAAAGACTCCCGAGGAGGCCCAAGTTCTGAAAATGCTCTCTGACATCCTATCGTGTTTGACTGACCAGCGTTTGAGAAATACAAAATGTGCAGGTCCAGTCAGTCCTTGACGACGTGAGAAATCTCAACTGCAGGAAAAACCTGGGGAAATTTGGAGAAAAGGCAACTTTATTCCTTCAGCCATTTTTTCCCGCATGAGTATTTAAAAATGAAAGCGGGTCAGTTTTAGACATAGGAAGTCGTTAAATGAATAAAGTCGCCTAAATAAATAAAGCAAGTAAGTAGTCTCTTGCAGAATGCTGATCTGCATGGCTGGAAGCTGTTACAGCCCTATCATTTTACATTTCTAGGGCTCTGTGTTTAGAAACATCATAGATTTAACACTTCATACCAGAAAAAGTAAAATCTCCATAATTTTCACATTGATCCTAGGTTGAGATTGTTTGACTAAATGATATTTTAAATTTTCACCTTTAGTTTTTCCTTTTTCAATGTAGCTATTAGAAAATTTTTAATAAATTTCTTGTGTCTCCCCTTGTATTTCTCCTGGGGAGCACTGTCTTATAAGCCTGTCTTTGACCTTGAGTCCTCCAGACTATGATAAAGGTTCTGATTCTTAGACTTTCTTTTATCTGGTTATGATTATCCAGTGTATTCTGGTAATCAGAGAGGTGTAGAAGGGACTTAAGAAGAAAGTTGCTCCCTTCACAGCCCCCCAGTATGTTGACCATTGGCTTTTTCCGGAGATGAGAGGAATGGGGGATTAAAGACAGAGCCTCAGTCATATAAGATTTCACCCTCACCTTCGTCAGTACAAAGAGAGACTGATAAACCGAGCGCTCAGCTGGCAAACAGGAGAGGCAATGTGATAGCACTGAGCAGGCCCGGTCATGCTCTGGGAAGAAAACACTGCAGATAAATCTGAGTTTGGTTTCAGGCTCTGCCATCTCCGGTAATTGCCTTAATCTCCGTGAGCCTCAGTTTCCTCCTTATTAAAAGGATAATCGGGACTGTGTTGACATTAACTAATATGGACAAAGGGAGACATGCATAGAATGTACCTACTGTGGCTGTGCCCTGTCCTAACTGCGGTAGACATAAGCATAATAACTCTATGATGTTGTTACAGAAAGAAATGGAACAAGAAGGAAAGTGGTTTACCCAAGGCTGTACAGCTAATGTGGTTCAAACCCAGGCAGTGATCATCAGTCATCCTCCTTTGCATGGCACACACACACACACACACACACACACACACACACACACACACTGCCCAGTACAGTGTAGAATACATTAGTTAAGAGTTGGTTTCTCATTTCTCACCCTTCTTAAAGAGCTAACCGAACTGCAAGGTTAAGTCTGATTGGTATTGTGTCCAAGCATTAGTGTTACTTTCCTAAGGCAGTTAAGCCACTGTGGAAGAAGAAAACAAGTGAGCTGGTGACATTGAGCCCGATGCTTGGAGTGACAGCTGCTTCCTTGCTAAGACCTGACTGTGTGTCCCCATTCAGCTGCATGCAGGCGTCAGTCCAGCCACTGCTGTTTCCTGTTTCAGTTGCACTCGGCCTTGTTCTAGCTGCCAGAATCTCATATGCTAGGGCTTTAAAGACAAAAAGGGAAATGGCCAGTAGATAGTTGAGCCAGGAGAGTTCACTGAGACAGCTGTTGTGAAAAACCCAACAGCCTCAGCGCTTTCCAAATGGTGCAAGTGTTCTTACAGTGCTGCTCAGAGAATCCCCACTTGTAAATTACACTGCAGAAATGACAGTTGTTCCAGTGTTCCGCCTCTACCGGTTCCCTTCTCCAGAGGCCCTCTGCCCGGGACCCAAAGGTCTGTTGTCTTTTGGCCTGTGTCCTTAAGAAGTTCATATTTCTATATTTCTAGGATAGTGAGTTTGTAAGAAAAATGTATTCTTTGAAACAGAGTTCCCTAATTGCTATGACAGTGTTTGTGGAACAATGGCACACGCCCCCCACCCATCCTCCCAAGGAAAGCTAATAAGCAGAGACAGAAGAAACGGAAACATTAAAGAAAGGGAATGTGAACTGGAGGGATTGCTCAGTGGGTACACTCCTTGCTACACAAATGTGAGGACCAGATTTCAGATCTCTGGCACCCATGTGGTGCTCGGCAGGCATAGTAACCACCTATAATCCCAACACTTAAGAGGCAGAGGCAGGATCCCTAGAACAAGCAGACAAGCTGGACCAGATAAATCAGGAAGCTCTAGGTTCAAGCAAGCGACCCTGCCTCTATCTATATAGACGCTGGAGAGCGATCAAAGAAGACACCGACATGAATTTCTGACCTTCCCATAAACACACACACGCACTCACAAACACATACGTACAAACATATGCATACACATACAAATCTATATGTAAACACACGCTTTTTTAAAAGGAATATGTTGGTGGTCAATTTTTTGGTGTTTCTAATGCTTAAAGTTCCTATAGGCTAAACACAGATTCACATATTCCAAATTTCCAAGGAAAACTGCAGATTATCATCACCAAGCAGGGGTATGCACTGCACTGAGTATTTATGCTTCCTAAGGGACCCAAAGTTGTGGTCTCAAATATAACCCAATGCAGGCAAGCATCCAAATGCCCAACGTTTTCCTATTTTTCTCACTGGAAAATGATGGTCTAAACTGAAAAAAGAACTTGATCACGCACTGAAAATCTTAATCTAGAAAATGAGCAACAATTTTGGGTTTCACCCTAATAAACAAGTTCCATGTAAAAATATCTTTATGCCAAACATATTTTCATCCAAAATAGCAGATTTAACTCCACAATGTTCAACAAGAAGGAATTATGTTAGTAGGGGTTGGCCAGAGAGTTAGAACCCATAGCTTATGTGTATGGAGAGAGATGTATTTTAAGGAATTGGCTCACACAACTGTGGGAGCTGGCAAGTCTAAAATCCACAGGGCAGGTGCAAGTCAATCCAGCATGCTAGACCTAGGGAAGAGCTGATCCTGCAGGCTGAAGTCCAGGGTTGAACTCCTGCCTCAGTCTAAGACCTTCAGCAGAGTAGATGAAGCATGCTCGTATTATAGAGGGCTTCATTCAAAGCCTGTGATATGAGTGCTAATAATATCTTTATTTAAAAAACCACATTTCCCCAGCAACATTTAGATTCATGTTTGAACAAAGACTATAACCTACACAGGTTAATACAGTGTTAGCCATCATTGGTATGTGTTCAGTTGGGTCCACACATTTCTGTGACTCTTTTCTGATATGTTCCTCCTTTGAATACTCTTCTCTTATGTCTCTACTCCTAAGTATAGTCTGATCCTTTTAGTGTTTTTTTTCTTTCTTTTTCTTTATCACATTTATTTAATTCATTTGATGGGATGCACCGTGGCATTGGTGTGGAGGTCAGAGGACAAGTTGGAGGAGTTGGTTTTCTCCTTCCACCATGTAGGTCCCAGGGATGGAACTCAGGTTACCAGGTTTGGTGACAAGTGCCTTTATCTGCTGAGCCATCTCACCACACCATCTATACTGTTCTTAACCAATGCTAATAGATTGAGACTTTAAAAAAAAAAATCAGTTCTTGGCTGAGGAAATAGTTGGTAAATTCCTTGCTTCACAAACATGAGAAAAAACTTGAGCCTCACCCCCAGACCGATGTAAAAAGTTAAGATATGGTAGCACACACTTGTAATCCCAGCACTGGGGAGGCAGAGAGAGATGGATCCCTGGAACTTGCTGACCAGCCAGTCAGTCAGACAGACAGCCTGCCACCCTGCCAGCCTAGCCTAATTGGTGGGCTCCAATTCAGCATCTGATGATGCAGACTCATAGTTGACATTTAACCTCCACATGCAGGTAGCTCCTGTTTAGCATTGTTTCTCATCATGTAGCCTTTAGCTATACACATGAACTCTTAAACAAGTACATCGATCCCTTTAATATTTGGTTATACTTTCCTTTTGGGTGTTTAAGGCCATACAGTTGACCTAGATAAACCAATTTATTTTTACTCTTAAGGCCGTTGAAGATCTGTTCCTCGGGGCTCACATGGGCTTGGGAGGAGCCCCTGGCTCCTTTCTTTTACCAGTTCTGCATATGTGAAGATAAGTCAAAGGTCGTGCTTGACCATGGCTGACTTCGCTTGGAAGCATGGAGGAAATGATTCCTCTCTGTTGACCCTCCTCTTTGTAGACTGGACACTGGTTCAAGTCCATCTGGTGGGGGTCTCCTCAGACTCCTTGATCAAGAGGACAGGTGACTCACCACAGTTACAAGGACATTTTGAGATATGCTTATAGTCTCCTGGAACTAGTTGACCTAGGAGGGCAAGAAGCAAAAAGTGTCCTTTATGTCCCTCTGACCAAATTAGTATAGGCCTCAAAGTATGTCTTTTAAACATCCAAGAAGGTTAGTTCCACCAGTCTGGTACTTTTAATTACTGTGTGCCATGTAGATAAATCTTGGGCAAAGACCATTTGTTCTCAGATAAACCTTACCTAGACATATATTTCTTGATCTGGTATGTATAATTTGTCAGTAGGTTGGTTCCCTCTGGTTTTTTGGGGTGGTGTTTTTTGTTTTTTTGTTTTTGTCTTTTTGAGACAGGGTCTCCCTGTAGCCCCAGCTGTCCTGAAACTCACTATGTAGACCAGGCTGGCCTTGAACTCACAAAGATCTGTCTG